ATTTATTTTATGATTTTTACTAGACCCGGGAGAGTTTACATGTTCTCTTCAGGTAGTACTAAACTAGATCCGGGAGAGTTTACACGTTTTCGTCAGGTAGTACTGGAGTAGACCCGGGAGAGTTTACCATCGGGAGAGTTTACAATCGCCCTTCGAGAGAAACGGTGAGCTTTAGATCGACCGCGATTTCTCCGAAAAAAAATATCGTAATCAACGGAAACGGCATAATATACTGAAGTGATTTTTTTTTTGTCCGTTCCATCCAGTGCACGTCAAACAGACTATGGAGTATAATAAATTTGGCGCACACTAAATCAAGTTACTGGCAATCGGAGAAACTCCCGCACCATTATTGCGACGGTTTAAAATTTATTTTTATTATTTATTTTTTTTTTTATCCAAAAGAAATGATGCGACACGGCAGAAGATCATTAAGCTACTACACGTTATGTGAGCAGTGGCTCGATAGAATTTAATTTCCTACGAAAATTCCTATTATATTTTATAGTCGAAAATACAATGCAATCAAGAAGTATAAAATACTAAGAATGTTTATCAAACCGATGTCATTGTTATTGTTTTTAATGTGCAAACTTCTCTAATTATAAAGGTTGATGTCTCGTATAGATATTATGTAAATCAGACACGAATAATAATTAATGTTTTTAATTTGAAACTCGCATTTACCTAATAAAACAAACGGTGCGAAAAAAAAAACATTTTCCATAGTACAAAACATTTCAGCAAGATGCATAAAATAATTGTAATTACGAGAAATCTCAAGAACTCGAAAATATGGTCTATATTTAAAAAATCCATAATAAAAATTCTGAATAACAGATATTATTGAAAGAAAAAGGTTGAGCTGTTTATCAGTGAATCGCTCTGTATAATTCGTGTACAAATTGTATATTTTATCATTTCGCATTTGATTTAAAACGTTCAATGAAAAACTATCAAAGGCAAACTGAGCACGCATAAACTCGACAAAAATTACTAAATAACATTACGTAGAAAAATGTTTTATCTTATCTCGAGAGCCGAGAGGTTTACTTATATTTCTATTCCGGTGGAAGTGCAGTCCATTACATCCATCGCCGTGTATACATATATAGTCCGAACGGTTTGTTTTGGATTTGTTCGTTTGTCTCAAAAACCAAACAAAACACTAAAATAAAACACCGCGCTACCTCATTTAGAGCGATGCACAGACGACCAGCAGAGAGATGGCATACACGAAAAGTCCCAGTAATTTATCAGGATTTACCTCTCAACTCGTCGGCGGCATGCACAGTCTTAACAATGGCCCAGAACGGGTCCAAAGACAAATATGCGGTCAAGCAGACACGGTTTTTCCGTTGCCGGCAAAAGGTTACGATCATAGACAATGGCTAGTCTAAATACAGATAACATCAACGGTCGTGCACGCCGTTTTTGTTTACCCAAAAGCCTCACATTACTTTGCCTCACTCATTTTAATGAGAACTGTTAAAAGTATTATTATCATTTGGTGTTTATATATGTGTATACACGTTCTTTGTAAAAAAAAAAAAAGAAAACTACCTGCGCTATATAGAGTCACAAAGCTCCGCACGTTTACGAGTTCACGATACACAATGACCTTTGTACGAGCATAAGTTAACCTTATGCCTTTATAACGGTCGATAACACTATTGTGTCAAAAACTCGTAATATGTATACATATATATTATACGCTTTCGGTATCAAACACAAGTCACGAATGTATAGTAGTCACAAGTAGGATTATGAATGTTAAAAAAGGATTTACACAGTCTGCTCGGTAACAACAATTATTGTGTTGCATTGAATTTTGGTATCAGTTATCACACGGATCCCGGTACTTAGGTTTACGGCGGTTAATAGTTGGGTATACCGATGATACTAGATCATGTTTTTGTGTTCGAGTGCTTTAATATTTTGTCCAGTTTTGTTAAAGTCGATGCGAACAAGTTTTCCGTAGTTAATGTCGCAACAGTATAAATATTTTAATATAGGTGACTGCAGTCCGAAAACTAACGCGAGTGAAACAGCTGAATTCGTTTAGACTCTACCCTGGTGTTTGAAATTGTTGACAATTTCAACTTTAACGTCAGCAACACATAATTTGTTATGATTGATCTGGTTTTATAAACGTTCAGTTCTTCGAAATTGATATTGCCGTAGGTATAAAAGCAGATTTTTAACGTTTTTAATTTGTATTTGATCAACTTTGTTGTAATAGCCAAATGCGAAATTACAAAAACATTTCATATTTGTTGATAAATAAATATGTTAAATTTGTAAAATACGAGAAATAAAATCTATAAACATTTGAAACGAAGTCCTACAAACATCATACACATTGCTGATTTTAATTTTCATAATAATTTTCACAAAAACTGCACTGGGATATAAAAAAAAACCATCTCTACAGTGTATCATTATTGTGTGAATTATGCAATATTATAAAACTGGTAAATGAAAATTTTGGTAATACGGAACAAAACACCAGTCATTTTAATAGATTTATTCTCAGAATATTAAAATAATTAGTTTACAATATGCTATGACATATTCGTTCAATATTTTAGATACTAAGCGAAGCGATGATGAATGTATTATGTAAATCGAGTTCAAATGTTATTATATGACATTTTTTGTATTAAAAAAAATTCACATTTCTATATAAAGAATCTATACTCTACAGCAGGGTTATAAGAGAGTCCTAACTGCAAATGGTAATGCAAAATTATATGAAGAGCGGGAAAAGGAATAATATCTATTATTTTATTAGTAAAAATATCAACATTTTAACCACCCGGTTTATAGTATGTAACACGGCGACTAATGTAGGCAATATTAATACATGACTGCCTGCTCAGCATAATATTATAACAAAATAATGCAATTAATAATAATATTATTGTATCTGCGAAGTTGAAGTAAGTCAAATAATTAATTAATATTTTGGAGTCAAATAAAATGAATAATTGGAAATTGGGTTTTCGAGTTTTTTAGGCAAAAATAAGTAAATGACAATAATAGATATAGTTGGTATATACAGAGTATCCCATGAGGATTTGACCATTAGCCGCAGAAAGGATTCGCCGCCCCACTAGCCAACCTAACCGGTTTTTTGCCGTTTTACTTATAAGATAAGGAAATTATTAAAAATCATGATATTAATGAAAAAGATTTATGATATATTTATTATCTTAGTGGATATCTCAATAGGTAAATCCTTTCAGGACACACTGTCACACTGCATATACAACAGCTGGTAAAAACGAATGATAACAATACCTATATTTAATTTCTCACAATAAATACATACGGCGTAAGTTGTGACTCGTGAGGGGTGAAAACAATATTGATTTCAACGTTTTGGAGATAAAATCGGAACGATCAGTTCACATATCATAATATTTAGGCATCTATGTTATATATTTATACCTTTTTTACGCATTTTTCTATGTAGCAAGTTTATTCTTAATTTTTCTTTTGACACGGATGGATATTTTATGTACTGTGCTTTAAAGTCTTCGTCTCCTAATTATTAATTAGATATATTATTAATTGTATACACTCGAATCATTTACAGTTAATAGTTGTTTTTCCAATTTAATTACGTTAAATTTTCTCGAATAAATTATGTTTGAAAACTTAAATTAACTAAATATATTATATCATTATGTACTCATATTACCTACTCACTCATAATTTATAAACATTCAGTAAATTATTATACTACTATATTCTTGGAGAATAAATACGAATAAAAATAAATAAAATCTTGTAAGTGTAGTAAGCATAATTTAAGATGTTAATATATAATTAATAAATATAAGACATTTAGCATACTTGACAATGCTAAAGTATATATTTTTTTTGTGCAAATATTTTAAGTTTTATGCTGGACCACGGACTTTGGATCGATTAGAAAAATTATATTTTTTTGTGAATTTGATTATATCACGCTAGAGAGGGGGGAGGCAACACGCAAGTTGATGCATCTTGATGTTTATAATTTTATAAAAAAAAACTTTCATTCAAAAATATATTTTTTTAATTTTAATGTTTTGTGAGGATCTTCTAAAGTTTGCCCTTTATGTTTTTTAGCTTACAATATTTTAATGACAAATTTTAAAATTTCTAAATCTAGTTGGTAAAATATTTGACATTTTTCAAATTGATTTGAAAAAGTCGAGATAGATATAAAATTTAAATAAAAAGAATGGAATTTCAAGATATATTTATAAATTATTTGCTACGAGTTCGCAAAATATCCAATAGGACGTAATTCGACTTCGTGGGCACGGGAATAATAATGACATTCCGTAGTAATAACAATATTATTATTATCATCATTATTACATCGTTTATAAAAACATGAAGCACATGTAATAAATTAAACCAGAATTTTGTGTTTTATTATCTCACTTAAAGAGGAAAAGGTCATACGTGTAACATATTATATTATTATCGTTCTAATATATATATTACTTATACATGTATATATATCGTCATGTCCTTGATCCTCAAAACGGCGCGGGTACGTCATTACATTCATTATTATCTAACCCCACGCGGAGCGCTATCTCTAACACGACATCCATATTGGACAGGTACGATTTATCCTCTCTTTCAGGAACCCTAGTCTGACGTTATCTCCGCGAGCCCCCTGCTGACTCGATAAAAATAGGTTTGCGATACGACCTACATTTTATATTCTGATAATAAAAACTGCCCGCACGGTACCGCTCATAAATATTAAAGTGCTCGACGTAGACATAATTATTATACAATATATTATATCATATCGTAATAGATACTACTACAACACACATTATTACATATTATGTGTTTATTATTGTAATGGTATTCGTGCGTATACCTTAACGTTATATTATTGTACCACTTGTATAATATCACTGTGTTATTGCAAATGATATCGATTTACGTGTACCATAATAACAACAAAATATGTGTATGAAACTTACCCGAGATTTCGGTCGAAAAGATCCACCGGAAGAGTATCCTTCATTAGATCCATGCAACCCCGAGCTGGGAAACTGAAAATAGAAAGCGTAAAATCGTGGTTATTGATTTATGTAAACACGCTACGGGGTTGAATAATCGCGCGATATAGGTACCTAGTTTGTAGGTAGTGTATTACAATGAACTACGAGTAAGTATATCGTATTGTGAACATTGTATGATTGTAGTATTAGAAACAATAATAATTACAGACACACATAATAGTAATTAACGCGTGGGCGAGCGAGATCGGATGGAACTATTTCGCCGAAAAAATGAAAAAAAAAAACCGAGGAAAAAATCAAAAATCTATAACTCAGAAAACGAGATGACACGGATATGATAAACAAATATCGGAAATGTGATGGAAATGTACGTACGAAAATAAATTCACAAATTCTCATACACACGTGTATACATATATTATATATTTACATACAATATATATGATATTGCGTGTATACGTATACGCGTATGAATTATATATATATGTTTATATATATGCGTATTATATACACTTATATGTTGAAACATCGTTTGGAATATGGAGAAAGGAGAAAATAGAACATCGATTTCTCTCCGCACACCCATATATAAAACCCACAGCTCTCTCACTCGTCGTCCATCACCCACCCAATAGCGCGAACACACACACACACACACACACACACACACACACACACACATATAAACATGCGCGCGCTATTCTCATATTGTACACCAAAGCTTACCTTCTGTGACCCTACCTCTCGGGTAGAGATGCCCATTTTGTCATGATGTCTGATTTGTACCGGGTAGATGATCTGATAATAATTGGCTCCGATGTTCCGCACCAGCTCTTGGTTCTGTCGATAATCCCGCAGGAGCCTTTCCACTTCCCCTGCACACCAAACGAAAAATAAATAAATGAAAATAATAGGTATACATATATATATGTATATATAAAACAGCCGGTAAAAGCGGATGATCGCGGTACCTATATTTTATTTCTCAAAATAAATACTTATGGCTCGAGGGGTGTAAACGATATCGATTGCAACGTTTGGGATATAAAATCTGAACGATCAGTTCGCATATCACGAGACATAGGTACCTGTAGGTACGTCACATATATTTGTATATTTAGCACACGATATGCGTGAAAAGCACCTGTCCGATGGATGACATGTATATAATTTGATATATGTATACATATGTTGTATTTATCTATATGTCTCTGGTTTATTCGGTATTTTTTTTATTCGATAGACTTACATATTTTTGTGCCGTGTTTTAAAGTATTCGCCTTCTGATTATTATAATATTAATCGACAAAATTGGATACACTCAAATTACGGTCAATAGATTTCACTCAATATTAGGTGCTTTAAATTTACACTTGAATTTATGATGTCTGAAAACTTAAATTAACTAAATATATTATAATATTGTTATGTACTATTCCTACCTATCCATAATTTATGAACAGTCAGTGTATTATAAAATACACACAACGTTAAGTTTCATTTTTTTTGTTTTACTTTTATTGTAAACAAATGATTCCACACATAGAGAATAATGTAATTTTAGAAACACAGTAATATTTTTGTTTTGAATATATATATTATAATTATAAAACTATAGTGCACAAATTCGATGAACATATTAATTTATCAATATTACTTACGCAGTAAAATATTAAATGTAATTAATTTTTGGTTTACAATAAATTACAAATGATAAAATAAGTTTAGTGCGTTTAAATGTATCTAACTTCAGTAGTACCCGTGGTGTACGGACTTGAGCCCAAATACCCCGGAATGGGGAGGGAACGGTTTGTGACGAGCTTATGGGCACGTGAGAAAATCACTAACAAACAAATATTATTTCCAATTAATGCCTATGCCTGTCTAGAAGATTAGGCACAATCACCAATGTCGAAAACCAATGCACAATTTCTCCGCAACAAATCTCGACAGATGTGTCTGAGGTGAGCGGGGTCGCCCATCATTGATTCACTCGAAACAAACAGACACGTCATACTACAGTATCATGCCGAGATGCCGTTCTTGTATCTGATTGGATTAAAATCCATCTCGGCAAATCGCATTCAAAACTGCATACCACCGAAGGGGCAAATTATTTCAACAAAGGCACGAAAACTACGACCCTGCAGCCTCAAGACATATTGTACCCTTCACTCGGTTTATCCGACACCGGAGAAGAAAACTCCTTTGAGGGGCTCTGCAGATGAATTATTTCTGCGATTTGACTAATATATTATTTATATATTATTATAAATACAGCGACTCGTCAGACCGTCTTGCGATGATTTTTTCTTTTTTTTTCTTATTTGCGCGCAGCTATCTCACTGCGTATTAAGTAACGTAATCACAGCCTCGAGGGAACACAATAAATACGTCTGTCTTTAAACGTTTGACAAACAAAATAAGTGTCGAGAGAAAAGTATATACTGTTTATCGCAGTAGAGGTGTCTCGTTTTTAATACTCGCGCCACTCGAAGCCGTGTGAATATCGATTAAAAGACTTACACACATGATCACAATTAATAACCGTGTAGAAACCTAATGACCACCATCATAAAACGATAATCGCATTAAGGGCACGTTATGCGAGGATCGTAAAACATGCGCAGCTAATCTTCGTGTAATAACAATATTATTACGATTATAGAAAAATTATAAAAATAAAAAAACAAACCCACCTCTCTACACCTGAAACTGCCACTTCATTATATAATATTGTTCATATTTTTTACGGTACGCTAATTGTTATAATTAATAATAAAGTGTACAAGATACCGATATTGTCTCACGGGAGCAATAAGCAAAGTTTCAGTTTCAAAGTACACGTTTGTTCTAATATATTCTGTATACATAGGTATATTATATACTCCACGGGAGTTTAAACTATATTTTCATGTCTTGTTGAAATTATTTTAATTTTGAATTTCCCTGTTCAGTACAGCGTTACTGTGAGCCGTTCATACACATTGACAGGAAATCTGTGAGAGCATAACTCGAGTATAAGATAAAACATTTCACAAAACTATACACGAGCTGCTCATTGTTTAGCAAACAAGAATTTAATATTTTAAAACATATATATCAGGTCAAAGAAGTGCTCGTTTGTGATAAATAAAACACAATGTTGCGAACAATAATAATAATAGTAATAATAATAATAATTGTCCCGTTATTATAACGATGTAGTTTGCGCGATTTTAAATTCAATTTTTGCCCACCCCCACACTCATCACCGGTAGAGGAGGAGATGAAAAGGTTGATGATGGAAAGGGATGCCGAGAACGGCAGAGGTAGGTTGTCTTTTGTGCGCCAGGGATGATAATATTTTTTGCGAAAGAAAATATTATTATTATATTTTTTTTTTGTATATAAAACATGAAAAAAATATGATAGAGAAATGCAAAGAACATCGATTGATGTACCATAGGATATATAATGTAACCTTCTAGTAATATTTGAGTACAATAACTGTGCTCCGAGTATCTACTCTGATCAGCAGGAGATGGAAAAGCCGACCAGGAAACGGGTAACAACGAAAAAACCTGAATGCCACTCCGCCCTGACGTCTGTATATATATAATAATAATAATGCTTGTCCTTAAGCTTATTTATATCCCTCAAAAAATTCCACACGCCGATACATTTTCTAGTGACATATTTTTTTATTTTTTTTTTCGTTTTCTTGCTGCGTTCTGCACACAAACAAATATCAGCAATTTCACTCATTTCAAAGCGGACATTATAATATACTGTAATAGTATAATACGAAAATTCCATTACAATATTATTATTATTATTATTATTATTATTATTATTATTTTTACAATATAATAATATATTATACGCATGTGTATGACGTATATCGAATATCACATAATATGTGCACACGTCGTGTACTTGTGTAACACCCGCAGAGATGTTTTCAACTGCAGGAAAATGATGTATATTCAAGTCGGCGATTCACCAGATACGCTCACGCCTCAATCGTATAATACACAATAACAATGAATTCAATAAAATTCAAAGTTTTATTTTTAGTTTTAAGTAATCTCCCAAGTTCTTCATCACGAGTAAAGAATGTATTATCAAATAAATACTTAGATTTTGTAAGCTGTTTTTAGAGTACTTGGTTGATAAAAAATTTATTATTATCAAATGAGAATTACATTTTTTTGAAAATGATGATGCTTATAAATCAAAATATAAACGATTAGTTTCTGATAGTCAAACTTTAAGTTTAATAGGGTAATAGTCCATCATAATATATGTATATATATATATACGTATATAAGTTACGATATTGGAACTCTGATGATTTAAACAAATTATAATCATCAATTTTAATCTATTAACATTTTATAACTTGTAATTATCTTTGTATATTTAGTAAGTACTAAATATTACATATTTTGTAATATTATATTTTATGTTGAATATTATATTATTATGTGACGTTAAATAATTTTGAAACCACTCATTCGCATTTCTCTTCACATGCGTCAACATTTAAGAAAATCATCTGATTAACAGGCCAACCGATTTTATTTTACCTTAAAATAGTTATTAATTAAATTATAGCTCACCGCACTCTCCCCGAAAATTCTAGACGCTCCATTGAAGCACTTCCTTAAATGGTGTAAACATTTATAAAGGTTTAAAGGTATATTTATAAGTCAAAAATATCAAAATTAGTGTAAAAGCGTTTGAAATTCAATTAATATTTGAGAAATTGAATGATTAACAGTGATTAATCATGTATTGTTAAAAAATCGAAAAGAAAACATACAAATTTTTCTAAAAAAATGAAGGCAAGTACTTAATTAATTAATACTATAATTTCATCAAGGTGATCTCTATTTCTCGATAGCTATTTTCTTTAATCGTATTGTATTAACGGAATAAAGTATTTTATCGAGGCCGTAAATTTCACTAGAACTTAAACAATTAAACACATTTTAATGGTCAGTTAAAATACCTATATAATATGTTTCATCACGTTGTTAAACTAATACGGTTAAATTATTTGTAGTACTTAATCAAAAGCGTGTGATTTAACGCTCAGTTCTTATGCCTAGACAATAATAATATATGTACACGTTTAATTTAGACTTAGGTATTTGTTTTGTATAGAAATAAATGGAACACATTATACACGTACACGTGTTTTTTGATTCAAATTTGATTACGCGAAATGCTATTGGTACCATAATTCGTATTTCCTATATTTATAAACAATTCAACAGTCAACACATTATACTAAATATCAGCTGTGTCTACGTTTATTGAATTTTGGGTGAGCCAATAAATTATTAGAACGCATTATAATGCCCAGTTCACTCACGACATGAAGGAACAACCCGGAGAATAGCCCATAAATTAGACTATTATTATTAATAATAATATGTATGATTCGATGTAATTTATCACGGTTTATATTTTATTGTAAGTGGCTTACGAAAGGCAATAATTTATTATTGAAAAACAGTTTCGAAAAAAGGTTGAGCTAGAAAACTTAGATATGAAATTATTTTCACCGAAACTAGGTCGTGAATAATGTATGGAAATAAATGGCTGGTTATTTATTTATTTATTTTTGTTTATAAAATATTAGAATATTTCATGTTCAACAGTCTTGTTATAATAGTTAGATAATTAGATTCATCTAATGACGTACCTAATAAAAGTTATAATAGCTGCTACGAGAAAATTATTATCATACACACGGTATCAATTAATACCATAAGTACCTGATGGTATCTGTGAAAAAAAAATAAAAACTTTAATGTGCCACTTAAATACTTAATCAATTATTAAAGTTAAAATAATAAAAAAAAAAACATTAGTTTTTTAATTT